GCAGGGAGCCCGATGCGGGGCTCGATCCCAGGACCCTGGGATCATGACCTGAGCCGAAGGCAGACGCTTAATGACTGAGCCACCCAGGTGCCCGGAACTTTTCATTTTTGAAGTAATTTCTAATTAATTGAAGAGTTGAAACAATAGAACAACAGACTCCCTATACCCGACACACAGACTCACCAGTTGCTAATTTTGCCATGTTGGTGCCTTTCTCTCCTGACCATTGGACATACTAGTTCATATCATGTCCCTTTACCCCTAAACGCTTCAACAAGCATTTCCCAAGAATGAGAAACCTGATAATGATACAATACCATTGATGTAGCCCACTATCTATATTCAGGTTTCTTTGGTTGTCCCAATAATATCCTTTATATAATTTTTTTTAAGTAAACTCTATGCCCAATGTGGGGCTTGAACTCACAAGCCCAAGATCAAGAGACTCCACAGACTGAGCCAGCCAGGCACCCGCCCCATCCTTTATAAAATTTTGTTTCTCCCTGTCCAGGATCAGAGTCAGGAACACTTGTATTTTGTAGTCATGTCTCTTTAGTCTCCCAATTTGAACAGTCTTCTGCATCTGTTTGTTTTTCAATTTTGATATTTTTGAAGACCAGAAGCCAGTAATTCTATAGACAGCCTCAGTCCGGCTTTGTCTGCTGCCTCCTTGTGATTAGGTTCAGGCCATGCACTTGGGGCAGGAATATCCAGAAGTGAAGTGAAGCTGTGTCCTCAGTACATTGCAGCAGGAGGAACCAATTGTTGATTTGTCCTTTCATTGGTGATGTTACCTTTGGTCCTTTGGTTAAGATGATGTCTGCCAAGTAGCTGTATACTGTAGAGTTACTGTTTTTCCCTTTGTAATTAGTAAGTATCTTATAGGGAGATACTTTGAGACCATGTAAATACCCTATTCTTGATCAAACTTTCATCTGATAGTTTTTGCATCCAGGATGGTCCCTGCCTAAGATACTACTATGGTGGTTGCAAAATGGGCTGTTGCCAACACTTGGCTCCAACAAACACCCAAACCATGTGTGTCTGTTCCAAATGGCAGTAACTGCCTTCTCTGTCTCTCTGTGCCCACAGCCAGTCCCACGGAACCGAGGTCCTCACCGTCCCCACCGCCTAGCCCCACAGACCCGGAGAGGAGCTCCCAGGAGCCCTTGATCCTGGCACTGGAGGGCAGCAAGGAGAACCAGCAGCCGGAGGGACGCTCCAGCTCCTCGCTGGGGGGGAAGATGTACTCAGGCAGCCAGACCACAGGGGGCATCCAGGAGATTGTGGCCATGTCCCCCGAGCTGGACACATACTCCATCACCAAGAGAGTCAAAGAGGTCCTCACGGACAACAACCTAGGTACAGGGTGGCGGGAATCAGGGATGCCGCCTCCTGCCCTGTTTGGCTCTTACTTGCCTTGAGCAGAGTGCCCACAGTGAGATCCTAGGGCCCAGGGTCCAGCCTGCAGGGGCCAGTCAGCCCAGAGGCATCCAGGACCCTCTGGGAGGCATCTGACTCTGACCTGGGTCCCTAGAGTAGGACAAATGGGGGATGAGTGCAGGTCTGATGTAACCTGAAATCCTCAGCCCATAGCGACAGTGAAACTCTAGCACATGCTGACACGGGGCTGAACCCCTTGTCCTCAGGGGACACAGAGGAGAAACCTGTTCTCTTTCACTCTATGGATCACAAACTCCTCTGAGTCTCCACTGCCAATCATGCCCCTCTCCCAGAGGGATGCACACAGACCCCGAATTCTTCACTGCAGTTTCTATTATAAAAATAAGACATGTTCCTTATTTTAAAATATCAAGCAGTACAGGAAAAAACTAAAAAGTAAAAGTCTCCTAAGCCCCCAATCATACTCCACAGTTTTTATATATCTTTGGTACTTCCCAAAAACATACAAGAATATATGTATACCTGATTTATTTTTTTCTATGTAGATGAATTTGCATACATACTATCCTATAACTGGCTTTTTAAAAGTGAACCCTGTTTTGTAGACACCCTTCCACATTAGAATGATCAGAACACCTGCAGTCTTCTTCCCTGTTGCCAAGTGTTGCAGACCAGGGATGCCCCACATTTTTGACCCACTTGATGGGCATTTTGTTTGTTTCCAATTTCCTTCTGCCTCTGAAACCACGTCAGTATGGTGGTCTTTGGGCCTTTGAGCAAGTACGACTGGAGGGAATTGCAGGATCAGAGAATACGCACATTGAAATTTTGATACAATATGTCAAATTACTTACTAACGAGGTGACACTAATTTGTACACACAAAGTGTTCAGACCTGCCCGGGGATCTCCTAGGAGTGAAGGAAATCTAAATTGTGAAAGCATTTTTGTTGGTAGCTGTTGGTTCCCCTACCCTCAACCTCCTATTTTGCAGAAAAGTCCCTTCCAGATACCTCCTGGGTGTGGGTTCCCTCCCGCATGTGTATGGTGCTTCCCTCTGAGTTAGTGGAGACGTCCCAGGTTCTCCTCTTTTTCTTGTCTCTCCTGGGCGCACTCGGCCCAGCCTGGGGTAACAGGTTGCCCTCCCCTGTCCCTAGGGCAGAGGCTGTTCGGGGAGAGCATCCTGGGGCTGACACAGGGCTCCGTGTCTGACCTGCTGTCCCGCCCCAAACCTTGGCATAAGCTGAGCCTAAAGGGACGGGAGCCCTTTGTGCGCATGCAGCTGTGGCTCAACGACCCCCAGAATGTGGAGAAGCTGAGGGACATGAAGAAGCTGGAGAAGAAAGGTGAGCACCAGGTGTTCTGGGCGTGGCTTCAGGTTTTTCCGTTGCAGCCATATCTAGTTGTAACCCAAAGAAAGCCAGGGCCCCAAGGCCCCATCTCAGCCCAGTGTGGGCCTGCAACAGACGGCAATCCCCCAGCACATAACTGAAAGCAACTAAACCATTTACTGTTTCTCCCATGAAAACCCCAATACCCCACCTCTCTCAGCGTCCTTCCATATACACCCATAGCTGCTTCAAAGTCTTTTGTCAGCCCCAACTGCACATACCCCAGAGTGCTCTCTCTCTGATCCCCCTTTGCCTGTAACCCAGACTCTACACAACAAAGCACAAAAGTGGCCCAGCAGACAGGAATTCTCCCTCCTGGGGGTGGGCAAGGAGATTTCAGATTCTTCCGTCATCCAGTATTATAGCCCTGAAAAACTGAGCCGGCATTGAGCACCCGCCCAATCTCGTGCTGTGACGAAGGGAGTCTAGAAAAGGTCAAGGCTGGGAGAGGAGATACAAGGAACTGAAAAGCTGTCACTCAGGGCACCAAGGCAGTTCCCGCTGAGGGCCCAGGGCCAAGCCAGGCTGTGAAGGGCCCACTATCTGTTGGCCTCAGACAACTCTGCACTTGAGAACTTGGCCCGCCACTTCCTGGCTCTGTGACCTTGGGCAGGTCGCTCCCTCTCTTTGTGCCTCATTCTCCTTCATCTGAAGAGTCTCAGGGCATTGCTGTGAGGATAAAATTACATCCTCCACTCTGAAGCGGGCTTCTTTTCCCCACATTTTGGTGATGTGGGGTTGAGATGCCTCATGCAATTACGGGGATCATTTAAATGAATGTCCTGCGCTCGCCCCCCAAGACTGTAGTGAAATTCAGAGACACTTCTGTCAACCAAGAGACTACAGCATAGCATGGCACCCGGTGTTGAGCATCTCCTATCTCTGAGCACCCAGCTAAGCTCTCTGCATACTTGACACCTGGGTGCTAACGACCAGACTTCAGAGGCAGGTGTGGGCAGACAGGCGTCTCGGCGGAGGGTTTGGGAGGATGTGGAAGCAGGAGCAAGGAGGGAGGAAAGGATGAGACTGGCAGTGGGCCCCAGAGTGTGAGGCATCGGCCGGAGCTGCCCCCACCCCCTGCTCCGGCCGCCACTAGGGCATGATCCGGCCTCTGGTCTGCACCCCCTCAGTGCCTCCTTCTCCCGCCTGCCCCAGCCTACCTCAAGCGCAGGTACGGCCTCATCGGCACCAGCTCAGACAGCGAGTCCCCAGCCACCCGCTCGGAGTGCCCCAGCCCCTGCCTGCAGCCCCAGGACCTGAGCCTCCTGCAAATCAAGAAGCCGCGAGTGGTGCTGGCGCCCGAGGAGAAGGAGGCGCTGAGGAAGGCCTACCAGCTGGAGCCCTACCCCTCCCAGCAGACCATCGAACTCCTCTCCTTCCAGCTCAACCTCAAGACCAACACCGTCATCAACTGGTTTCACAACTACAGGTATGGTGCCGGGGCGGCCGGACCCCTGCCCCATCCCAGGCCCAGCGGGAGCCTAGCTTGGCCTCTGGGAGGTGGGGAGACCGTATGGCCCAGGTGTTTCGATTCAGTCTAGGCAAACCTGGGCATAAATCCCAGCTCCGCCGTTTCCAGCTGTGAGCCCCTGAGCACGTCGCTTCACCTCCCTGAGTCGGAGTCTCCTGACCTATAGAATGGGGACTGTGGTGGGATCTGCCTCCTGGAGTTGAGGACTGATTCAGTGGGCTACCATATTTACATAACATACTGGCCACATGGCATGGGGTAGGTCATGATACTGTTGTCACCTCTCTTAATTACCACTTCACCCAGTTTGTGTCTGCCTCTCTGAAGGGACAGAGAATGGTATTTGGGGCACAGGACTGAGGAATCCTGCCTACCCACTGAGCCTCATGTGGGAGCCCTCATTTGGGGCTCTTGACCTCTCCCACTCCCGAGACCAAGAGAAACCCTCTGGCAGCACCTGCCCGGAGGAGTGGGTGATCCCTATGTCTGTGGCTGCCTCCCACTCACCGGTCCCTAGTCTGGGGGGTCACCGACTTACAGTGGCTGGGCTTCCTGGGAGTTCAGTGCCAGGGCTGGCTGGGGGCATTGACTGGATTCAGCAGTGCCCGAGGAGACTGCAGAGGGGCTTCCTGAGTTCAGCTGAGAGCCCTGTGGAGAAGGCTTGCTGGGATTCCAGGGACCATCTCTGAGCCCCTCTCCACCCACCCTCCGCCAAGCTTCCTGAGCAGGAAAGGTCTCTGGTGTCCATGCGGTGCCAGAGAGAGTCCATCCACGTGTTCCAGGGGCAGGGAGAAGGTCTCTTACTCCCGAAGGGAGAAGAGGAAGGAGGAGCCTGGAAAGGTGGAACATTTGAAATCTCCTCTCTCCAAAGCCCAGGCATGGGCAGCCCAAAGACCTGAGTTCAGTCCCACCTTGGCTGTGTGTTCTTGGGCAAGTTACTGTACTTCTCTGGGTCTCATCCCTATTTTACAGATAAGGCAGGTAAGGAATCTAATGCTGAATCAAGGATCAAATGAAAAAACTTCAGGCATAAATATATTGTTAAATATTGCTGTTTATGATCTGGCTCAGATTCAGGGCCTTCCAAACAGCAAACGACACAGGTCCCTAAATCCTCACATCCTCCTTCCCTTCCTGGGGAATATGGGGATGTCTTCTCCCCTCTTGTTCCCCATAGGAACTGAGCACTCCATTTTTATCCAACATACTCATTCAACAAATAGTTACAATGTATGCACAGTGATCCAGGATCTGGAGATACAGGGGTTCAAAGCCATCATCCTGGTGTGCCTGGGGGTTCAGTCAGTTAAGTGTCTGCCTTTGGCTGAGGTCATGATCTCAGGGTCCTGGGATCGAGCCCCACATCAGGCTCCCTGCTCAGCAGGGACTCTGCTTCTCCCTCTCCCTCTGTGATCTCTCTCGCTCTCACTCTCTCTCACTTTCGAATAAATAAAATCTTAAAAAAAAAAAAAAGCCATCATCCCTGCCCTTAGAGAGCTTAAAATTATGAACCAGATAATTTTACTACAATCTAATTGCTATAAAGGGAGGAATAAGGGGCTGAGGGAAAAGAGAATTCTGTCCAGGGAAGACTTTACAGAAGAGGTGGCATTTGAGCTGGGTTTCGAAGGATGACTAAGAATTTGCACCGAGGAGCAGAGAGAATTCCACTCTAAAAGAAAGAAACTGGTCTCAAAGAGTTACAGGAGAAAAATCATTTCATTTTGTAAATGTTTATTGAGCACCTACTCTGCACAAGGTACTGAAGAGAACAAGACAAAGTCCTTGCCCTTAGTATCTCTTACAGGCCAGCAGGGACGGTCACTATTACATGAGCATTCATATTAATACATCATTACAAATTGCAGTGAACTCTGGGAAAGGTGAACAGCAAGATGTTTTGAGAATAAATTATCAGGGAAGGGTGCCTGGCTGGCTCAGTCAGTTAAGCGTCCAACTCTTGGTTTCGGCTCAGGTCATAATCTCAGGGTTGTGGGATTGAGCCCCGAGTCAGGCTCTGCACTCAGAGTGGAGTCTACTGGAGATTATCTCCCTCTCCCTCTGCTCCTCCCCCTGCTCGTGTGCTCGCTCGCTCGCTCTCTCTCAAATAAATAAATATAATCTTTAGCGGCGCCTGGGTGGCTCAGTCATTAAGCATCTGCCTTTGGCTCAGGTCATGATCCCAGGGTTCTGGGATCAAGCCCCGCATTGGGCTCCCTGCTCCGTGGGAAGCCTGCTTCTCCCTCTCCCACTCCCCCGGCTTGTGTTCCCTCTCTCGCTGTGTCTCTTTCTGTCAAATAAATAAATAAAACTCTTTAAAAAAGAGAGGGAGACTAATTTATACTAAAATGTGTGAATGACTATTAGCCTCATATTTATATTTGTTCTACAGTTTGGATAGTCTAATGATGGAACTTCAGACACTGAGCCATCCTAAACCCCTCCTCCAGTCTCACCTCAGTGGAACCCACTAGGGCTCTTCCTGATCTCAGCAGCTCTTCCCTCTTCTAGAGGAGACTGAGGGTGAAGGTGGAGTCCCCTGGATGGTGGGCTAATGCCACCTTTGTAGAGGGACTGGAGACTGAACCAAATGACCCCTCCGAGTCCTTGCAGGCCCAGGCTACTGGGATGGGACCCCATCGCCAAACTGGACAGGGAGCCAGGAGGCAAGAGAGTGTAGCCCGATCACTGGGTTCCCAGCCCAACTGCTTGCTCTGTGATCATAGCAATCCTTGGGCCTCTCTGAGCCTTGTCTCCTGTATCTATAGGAATGAGACTAATGTCCTTTTCCTAAGGTTATTATGAAAAATTAATGAAATAATCTGCAAAAAGCACTTGGCCTGGTGCCTGATACATGATAAGCAGCCATTAGTGTGATGTTTGTAACTTATAATTGTTAGTATTCTATATCAATAACTTGTACTTTATTATTAATATAAATGGGCAGAGGGCTACAGCAGGTAGCTGAGGAAGCCATTCTGTTCTATGACCTTGAATGAGTCATTTGACTTCTCTGGACTTCATCTACTGTTAGGAAAATAATGAATGGGGTTAGTCCCAATCCTGACTTATCCTGCTTAAAACGTGTGTAAGACTGAGTTGCCCTCTGATGGCAGGGAAGCAGTTGAAGTGAAGAGAGAGCGAGTGGGTTCTGGACGGGAATCTGGGCTTGCAGGTTCTGGTCCCAGCTCTGTCCCTGTGTGCCGTGGTGACCTGTACAGGTCACTCTTCGCACCTCAGTTTCCCCTTCTGGGCTGATGTCTAAGAGTCCCCACAGGAAAGAAGCAGAGAGATGTTGCCACAAACTAGAGCTGGGTTTGACTTCAAGAAATGCTCTAGACTGGTGCTGTCCAAAAGAAACATAATGCAAGCCGCATGTGATTTAAAATTCTCTAATAGCCACATTAAAAAAAAAAAACAACAAATACACGAAATTAATTGTAATAGTGTATTTAGCCTAATGTAACCATTTCGGTGTGTAATCAATATAAAAACTTTACCAATGAGACCTTTTACTTTTCTTTGTATTAAGCCTTCAGAATCCAGTGTGTATTTTAACCCGTACAACACATCTCCTTTCAGACTAGCCACATTTTAAGTGCTCAGGAGCCACGTGTGGCCAGTGGTTCCTCTACTGGACAGCGCAGGTCTAGATCATGAACTTTGGAATCCAACAATCCTGAGTTCAGGCCCTGACTCCGCTACTTAGTGGCTGTGTGAGGCTTGTTTCCTCCTGTGTGAAGTAAGGATAATAAGAGCACCCACTAGTAAGGTTGTTGACAGGACTTACTAAGACGCTGCATGTGAGGAGGCCCCTGGGAAAGTGGATGGGGTCAAAACGCCACTTGCCTGGATTGAGTCCCGCCCCTCGCTCACCACCATCTCTGCCCCAGGTCCCGGATGCGCCGGGAGATGTTGGTGGAGGGGACCCAAGACGAACCAGACCTTGACCCCAGTGGGGGTCCTGGCATCCTACCACCAGGCCACTCCCACCCAGACCCTACCCCGCAGAGCCCCGACTCTGAGGCTGAGGACCAGAAGCCTACCGTGAAGGAACTGGAGCTTCAGGAAGGCTCCGAGGAGAGCATCACACCCCCGACCAGCCAGGACAAGGCCCAGGTGAGGATTAAGCAGGAACAGACTGAGGAGGATGCAGAGGAAGAGGCGGGCAACCAGCTCCAGGACTCAGGGGAGCCAGACAAAGGCCAAGGTTCCCCCAAAGAGGCGCATCCTGACCATCCGGGTAACGACAGACTCTCTAAAGTGGCCCCGGGGCTCCTCCTTCCAGGCGGGACCACTCCAGACTGTCCCTCACTACAGCCCCCCCAGGAGAACGAGGGTGGGGAGCGGCTCCACCCGGACCCTCTAAGTTTTAAGTCGGTCTCAGAGTCCTCGCGCTGCAGCCTGGAGGTGTCCCTGAACTCACCCTCGGCTGCCTCCTCGCCGGGCCTCATGATGTCTGTGTCACCCGTCCCCTCCTCCTCAGCCCCCATCTCCCCGTCCCCACCCGGCGCCCCTCCTGCCAAAGTGCCGAGTGCCAGCCCCATCGCCGACACAGCTGGGGCTTTGCACCCCAGCGCCAAGGTGAACCCCAACCTGCAGCGGAGACACGAGAAAATGGCCAACCTGAACAGCATCATCTACCGGCTGGAGAGGGCTGCCAATCGGGAGGAGGCCCTGGAGTGGGAGTTCTGAAGGCAGGGGCACAAGGGCAAGGGGCATCCCAGGGGGCCAGCTCTCCCCCTCTCACTCACTCTCCCAGACGGGGTGGGGGAAGGAAGGAAGGAACTCAACCATCCAGATGTGGACAGCAGCGTTATGCAGTTTACGTTCTTTGTTGTAATCCTAGTTCTATGACGTTGTGAGTGAGCAGGCGGGCCAAGTGCCACTGCCTCTTCTTTGGGGCACCCCTTGCCCCCACCCCCCCCCCGGGAGCATCCTCTTCTCCACCCCGGCCTCTCTGCAGGAGGCGGAAGCGACGTGGCACCGCATTTTCACCTGGAAACTCCAAACTCTTTTAGAAAAATAAATATTTATAGACCTCTTTTAGATATTTTAATAAAGGATCCTTTGGAATTTATTCCCAGCCAATGCTGTTTTGATATTACAGAGAGTTATAAAATCAGGATGCGAAGTATACACTGAAGTTGTGTCGTTTTTGCCACTAGATGAGATTAAAAGAAGACAATTGTTCAAAGCCATCACAAAACACTATAAGACTGACCAAAATTTAGATAACCCTTGAACTGCGGTTTTTTTTTTCCATATCTGTCTGTGAGACACAGCACACTGCTACTGCCCTTCCGGAAACCGTGCTGAAAAGAAAAAGTCCAAAAGACTCTAAATGAAAACCTCGACACCATTGAGGATGTGTTTCATTCTGGTGGTCTGTTTTGCAACCTTGATAACACAGAACGTCCCGCGCCGTTGTCACAGCGTTGTAGGGGTGTGGGCTGCGGCCAGCCATCCTCCCCAAGACGTGACACAAAACTGCTTCCGGGCCCGCTCGTCAGATACCTGGGGGCCGCCGAGGTTGGACACCCAGCCTGTCCGTCTGTAGACCAGATGTGTTTCTGGGTCCTTCGGAAAGCCAGGCGAGGGGTCAGGGGATTGGAGGGCGGCACTCGAGCCAGAGTGACCCCGTTCCCCCACCTGAATCGTGGCCACGGCCCAGGAAGTTTCCCACTGGCTTTCCGGAGCAGGACTGCGGCCGCCATCTCCCCCTCCCTGTGTTCTAAGAAAATAACAGCGTTGGTCATCCCACGAGTACGCCGCACCAAAAAGTAGATTCCTCCAATTTCTTAGAGACCCCAGCTCCCTTTCTTGCCATCTTCTCTCTCAAGTTGACCCAGGTGCTGTTTCTGGAAGGCATCTGCAACTCCCAAGCCCACACAGAACAAAGTGAGAGGGTTGAGTGCACCTCAGCATGACCACCGTATCCCAATCTCTAAGTCTGCCCCCCTGCCTTCCAACACACGACCTTCCGGGGAGCAAAGACTCAATCCCCCCAACTCAGAGAAGCCCTTCCTTTAGCATCTTCGTCGTCAGGGTTTCTGGTGGGAGAGTTCCCAGTTTGGACGGAAGAGCCACCATATTGGTTTTTGACTCTCTCTCTTCTGTTTTTATTTCTTCTCCTTTCTCAAACTCTCTGTGGGAAGGCTGAATTGGTGACTCCCCAGCTGAATCCAGAATGACGATGAAAAGGTGGCCTTAATCGGTGCCAGTCTAGTGCCGGGGGAGGTAGCTGAGGGCTTTCAAGGATGCAGCAAGCATTTTGAAACCAGGCCGGCAAAATCCAGTGACCAGAAGGGGACAATTGAGGGCTGTTCCAGAAATCTCAACTCTCATGCACCCAGGCCAGGCTGCAGTCTCCACAATCAACGAAGAACAACACAAACCCTGCAGGAAAACATCCTTTTCCACACACCCAGGCTATGCATTGAAGAGTTTTCCACTGTATACATTTTTATCCAGATGAAGGTATTTTTATATTTTGACAATAGGAAACAGTGACCAATTTTCAGAGTAAGCAAATCTGGAACAAACGAAACATCTCCTTTTAGCCACCACCGCCCGGTCGCAATTAAGACAACCGTGAGGGAACACACCACTTTCTACTGTTGAAACCCACACAACATTGAAATCCAGGCTCACCCGCAGACTACAGATCTTAGAGGACTAAATCTGGCTTTTGTGTGACGGGATTTGATTAAGCACTTAGCATATAGTCTTTTGAACACGGAAATCCTGTTGTACTTAAAGCTAGCAGACCCATGAACAACTTTGTCAGGTTCACGTCCTATAACGGTAAAAACAAAACAAAAACCCACAAAACCGTTTCTATAAGAGATTGATGAACTTTGTTTAAAATTTTAAAAAGAACACGTTCTGTAAACGCGTCGCTCAATACAGAATTGTATAATAATGTCTGGGTGTCCTGCTTGCTTTGTTCTGGAGCTGGGGATGCAAACGGGGAGTCTGAGCTGGCCCTCAGAGGTGTTTTACAAGACGTTTTGTAAAAAAAAAAAAAACAACAACTGGCTTTTAAATTAGTCTGCCACCATTAAAATATGGGGGTGTGTCACCTAAAAATCCTAATTACCGGCTTTTCTTGAAAACCGTAAGATCTGGCCACACTGGACCCCACTTCCAATGTGACAGCAGCTCCCCCCCTTTTAGAGAGGACACTTGGCTGTGATGAGCCTCAGTCCTCACCTGCCTGGGTCCTGTGGACATCTCTGTTGGCGATTGTGCTGTGGGCTCCGGCAAAGGAAAATGGAAGGATCAGATTCCATTTTTCTCCTCAGTGCAGCAGGGTGGAAGCAAGTTAATCTCTGGGGCTGAGATCATGCCCTGCCCAAATCAGTGGCCGCAGGTCATGGCCCCAGGATCACCCAGTATACAAGCTGTGCCCACCTCAGTGGAGTGAGGAGCAGGTGTCCCCGGCCTCCCAATAGGAAAAGGCCAAGACGGACTTACTAGTAACCAACAGAGCATCGCCCCTTTCCACGATGTATAACTCGGGCCTTGGTTTCCCCGTCTGAGAAATTAGGGGTATCGCAGCCGCCAGCTCGGGAGGTGATTATGCGGAATAATCATGCACGTAAATTATGTTAGACAGTGTGGCACATCAGGGCTCAACATTACCTGTTGTTATCACGAGCAGGGGTCAGTTTCTTTCAACCCGTGATGCTGAGTCTCTGCTTCAGGCTACAGGGTTTTTTCTTGACCAGTAATGTCAGGAGAGTCCCTGAGGTGGCATTACTCACCCGTGAGCCAAGGCCACATGGTGTCCCAAGACAGACCTTTCCTCTCTGTCTGGAAACCTTCCACACATCCTTAAAGTGGGAATTAAATGATTAATTACCTTCATTAGGATAACTAATTACTCCAAACCAGCAGGATGGCCGCCTGTCAAGGCAGGGAGAGCAGCATCGTGTAAGGCCAGAGGCCCCTGTCCATGGAGGTCCCAAGCTAGCCCTTAAGGGTGACATCTCAGGCAGGACTGGCCTTTGCTCAGAGTTGGAGAGGAGAAGGATGAGAGTCAAGAGCTCAGGGAGAGGGGAATGGCCAAATGGCTCCCACCTGTTGGAGCCATAGGACCCTGGGTAAACGCCTAAACTGCTCTGTGCCTCAGTTTCCCAAGCTGTACAGTGGAAGCGATAGTAATGGCACCTTCCTTATAAGGTGGTTGTAGGGATTCAAATGACGCAAAGCCACGGACTGATCCTTTGGACCCTGGGTTCACAGCTCTGGAAAAACAGAAGGCAGAAATCCCCAGGATGTGGCCCCAGGGTGGAGGTGGGGGCTGGAGTAGAGAAGAAGCCGCATCTGACACAAGCCACCCAAGAACTTGCGGAAGCAGGTGCCCCCGCCTTTGGGAACTAAAGCTCCATCCTGGGCCATCATCTTTGGTGTTGACATTGTCTGCAGCTGCTGTCCATCTGGAGTGGAAAATGCAGTAAAAAAACATGGAAATGTGGAATGCTGAACTAGGGAGCACGGGCAAGTGGGGAGTGGAGAGACCAGAAAGGTACAAGAAGTCAGAGAAGGCCTTGGAGGAGGGTGATGGTAGGTTTCGATCAGGGGACAGGGGAGAGCAGAGAGCTGAGCTGGGGGAACGTTGGTAACTGTCTGTCTGGGTAATAAGTATTTATTGAGTGCCTATGTGTGCTCAGTGATCCAATGGCAGAAACATGGGGAACCATGAGAGTATGAGTAGTGAGATCCAGGAAGGCTTCCTGGAGGAGAGGACATGTCACCTGACACATGAAATACTATAGGAGTTAGAGAAGCAGGGACAAGAACATGGAGAAACAGGTCCAAAAGAGGCTGGAATTTGAGGTGGGGTGGAGGAAGGAAGAAGGATGAGGGTCAGATCCTGAAGATCCTTGAGCCATGGCGGGAAATAGCCTTTCTTCTGAGGGTACCGGGAGCCATGGACGGTGTGAGGCAGGGGGTTGCTATGGTCAGACCAGCATTCTTAGGAGGTTAGGAGACTCCCTCTGCCTGGAGAGGTGGCAAGCCAGAGGAGAGCAGCAGGCCCACCTCTACCATAGGCCCTGACCCTCAGGCCGCTATGGTCCTTGCTTCCTACTCCTGCCCTCCTTTGGCTCCTAGTTAAGCTCCTGCACTGGGCCAACAGCCCCATCTCCCATCACCTACTGGTGAGTGAAAAAACCAGACCTCACCTGGCTGATTAACCCATGACTGCCAGGGTGGCTATTCTAGAGATCATTCCGAAGGCCAGGCTCTCAGGAGTGCTTCTCCCTCTCCCTCTGCCTCTCCCCCTGCTTGTGTTCTGTCTCTCTCTCTCAAATGAATAAATAAAATCTTTTTTAAAAAATAAATAAATAAAAATAAAGGCCAGGCTCTCCATAGCTAAAGGCACAGGGTATATGTTGCTCTAGAATCTGGGCTGCCTTTGCAGGCACCCTGGAGGCTGAAGTCACCCCCGTAAACCCAAGGGCAGTAGGGAAGGGGCAGGGAACAGCACCATGAGTGACCTTAGCCAAGGTGACTCCTCACCCCAGGTCAGTTCTCCCATCTGCCACAATGAAGGGATAAGACCGTTGGTTCCGTGATCTACAGCCCCCCAGGGTGTAGTTGTTAAAAGCACTAGCTTTGGACTCAGCCTGGCCTGGGTTTGACTCTCCACTATCAGGTAATCTGGGGTCCTTCAATGAGACTCAGTTTCCTTATCTGTAAAACGGACCAGATCATAATAATATCTACCTGTGTTTGCTGACTCTTACCACATAACAATGCCAAAACTTAGTGGCTTAAAACAGTAAACGTTTACCTCTCAATCTCTGTTGGGTCAGGAATTTAGGAGTGGTGTAACTGGGTGGTTCTGGCTCCTGGGTCCCTCATGAGGGTACCACGAAGCTGCCAACCACGGGGCTGCAATCTCCTGAGGCTGTTCCAGGGCTGGAAAATCTGCTTCCAAGATAGTGTCCTCCCATGACCGGCAGGCTGGTGCTGGCTTGTTGGCTGAGGGCTTCCGTTCCTCTGTCAGGGCTGCCCGAGTGTCCCCACAACATGGCAGCCAAGAGGGAGCAAGGCAGAGGCTGCAGTGTCTTCCATGACCCAGATCTGTAAGCCCTACTGTCACTCCCACAGTATTTCCTTGGCCACACAGGCTTGTCATGATTCAGTGTGGGAGGGGACAACACAAAGGCATGGACACCAGGAGGCAAGGATCATCAGGGCCCATCATGGGGGCTGGCTACCACACTGCCTCAGAAGTTTCTCTGAAGATTAAATTAGCATTTCCTAAGCATGGCCCTAAAATTCCGTTTCCTACTCAAAATGCAGCTTCCTGGGTCCTGCCCCAACCCACTGACCCAGATTTCTGGGAGCCAGGGCCCAGGAATCTGCATTTTAAACCATACCCCCCACCACCACCAGGTAACTAGGCCGTCCCAGGTGTCAGTAAATGGGAGGCAGATCTGATTTCATTGTGTTGGTCCCACTGGGTATGCCAGGCCCCTGGAAGGATCCTGGTGAAACAGAAGAGCACAGGCGTGCAGAACAAACATTCCCTGGGTGTCTTGGCATAGTCGGGAACAGCTGGGTTGAGAGAAATTTTGATCCACTTAGAGATGTGCGAACGGCTTATTGGGAAGATCCAGGGAGACCCTGTGAAATCCAAAGGCAGGAGGTTCAGCCGGCCTCTGGGGCACCAGACGGTCTCTCGCTCAGGCCGCCTCACACCTGAGTCTGTTCCTCCCAATCCGAAGTTCCCAGGACCCTGCCTGGCTCAACTTGCATCTGAGACCAACTCCTGCCCCACAACCATAGTCAGGGAGGGAAGAATCGCGGGAGCTCAGGGGCGGGGGAGGCAGTGGTTGGCATCTCAGTGCCAAGCCCGGGGGGCGGGGGGGTGGGTGCACCGACGGCAGAGCTGGTCCCCAAAGAGTTGCAGTCTGGAAGGCCTGGGTGCTCCACCCTGGGATCTCGGCCCCACAGCCAGAGAAACGATGACAGTTCCCCCGGACATTGAAGGGAGTGCAGTGGCGGCAGCCCCAGCCCCCAAGTGCTTCCAGAGCTGCTGCTGGTAAGAACAGCCGTGGCCGTGGCCCCAAGTGCGATCAGACCAAGCCGGCTCTGACCCCTGTCAGGAGCAGGCAACCGTTTTGATGAAACCCTAAGTAAAAAAGTGGTCCGTGGGCCCACCTTTTAAAAAGTCTTCATCAGAAAATGCAAATCTGGAGTTGGGCTTCATTAAGCAGTTTATCATTTTACTGCTCTTGAGTTTCATTTTATATGCCGCGATTTTAGAAATTGGGACAAGTAGTCGGAACTTTTCGATAACCAACTTTGTGTTAAGGTGAGGTAAGGTATCTGGGGAGGGGTTGGGGGGAGTGGACAGTTGGGACGCCCCTCTTAGAACGTAAGGTGCAGTGCTATTCTTTCAATATTTGTTCGCTCAGAAGAGGAGATGGAAGGCTTCCAAGGAAAGGATGTCCCAGGGAATACCATCCAGCACTAGCCTTCACCCCACTGAGCTGACAACAGCCCTACACTTGGTCACCTAGAGCCATGCTCCTTAGAGGGAACAGCTACAGTCACTCAAACTTACCTATTAGGAAGCCTCTGGCTGCAAAGAAAAAAAAAAAAAAGTCCCTCTCAAAGCTTTAAACAAGGACATTTATTACCTCAAATAACAAGATGTCCAGGGGTAGGGCAGTCTCTTTGTCCATTGACTTGTCAGTTCAAGGATATCTTCAAGTATGTACAAAACCCAGCAGGGCATATTTTCCTTAGCATGACCTACTTCATGATCACAAGATGGCTGCCACAGCTCCAGACATCAGACATAACTTACCCCCAGAGAGCAATGAAGAGCTCTTCACTGTGTCTCTTTTCAGAAGCAAGAAGACCCTTCTACTCACATCTCATTGGCTGAAATTTGGTCACACAGC